AATGTTTGATACTCTTCCTTTATCTACCACCTTTCAAAGAATGAGCTGTTTTCCTAGTGTCTGTGATGATCAATTAATCTTATTCTTTTATTATTATTATTATTATTATTATTATTACAAACTCAGAATGGCTTTAAACACTATTGATGTGTCTCAGTCCATTGCACTTATCTTTCATGGCTATGCCATCTCTTCCAGGACAAAGCCTCTTCAGGTTGGTTCCTGGGTCCTTTGACATGATGGCCCTTTTGCCTTTGGTTGCATCCTTGCTATTTGGTGTGAAGAGATGCTCCAGGCTCACCTTGTACATTTCCTAACCTCAGACCTGGAGTCAGCCATTACTCTAAGATGCCGGTTCCTTTCAGTGGGAAATGGTTAGTTGATTTATTTTAAATACAAACAAATAGCCCCAAATCACTAGACATTTGAAAAAAAAGCCTATAAAGTGAAAGAGAAAGATCAAAACAAACAAGCAGAAGGAATGAAGAAAGGTGCAGGGACAATTAGAGAAATATAAGAAAACATCTTAAAAAGTAATTAGAAAAAACTCATTGAATCTTCTGATATATAAAAATATATTTTTTAATATACTAAAAATGTGATTGGGGAAATAAAAATCGAATTGAAGAATATAAGATGAAGTTGAATAAAAATCTCCCTGAAATTAGAACAAGAAAAAAATAAGAAATCACGAACAGGAGAGAAATAACAGAATATTAGAGGATCAATGCACAACGGCCATCACTTGGTTGGATTCATAAGAGTTACAAAAAAGAGAACAGAGGAAAAGTTGAGGAAGAAATTAAGGATGAAATAACATAAGAAAATCTGCCAGCATGGAGGATGAGGCTTCACACTGAAAGGGCCGAGTGAGTTCCCAAAAAGGTCATGCACTAAGACACCTCAGTTGGAAAATTCAGGATATTGTAATGAAAGAGAAGATCCAAAAAGTTTCTAGAGCCTAAAGAAAAAGAAAAAACTAGAAAAGTTGGGGAATAAGAATTACATCAGACTTCTCAATCGCAACACTGGAATCTAGAAAACAGTGGGGGAATGAATGCCTTTAAAATTCTGAGTGAAAATTATTTTTAACCTAGAATTCTGTATCAAAGCTATCAATCAAGTATGGAGATAAAATGAATCAGACATGCAAAAATTTTTATCTTTTTAAAAAAAATTTTTAATGTTTATTTTGAGAGAGAGAGCATGCACACTCCCATGCATGTGGGGGAGGGGCAGAGAGAGAGAGGGAGAGAGGGAATCCCAAGCAGACTCTGCACTGACAGTGCAGAGCCTATCGTGGGGCTCAATCTCATGAACCATGAGATCATGACCTGAGCCAATATCAAGAGTTTGATGTTTAACCCACTGAGCTACCCATGTGCCCCAATGAATTTTTAAAAATTGATCTATCATGTTCCTTTTCTTAGGAAGATAGTGGAGATGTGTTTTACCAAAATAAGCAAGTAAATCAAAAAATTGGGAGACATAGGATTCAGTGAAAAGGAGAGGAGAGAAGGTAAGTCCCAGGATAACAGCCAAGCAGGGAAGCCCCAGGAGCAACCAGTCCACAATGGGGCAGGAGGCTGGAGCCTAGGGGCAGAAGAAAGAGGATGGGACTGAATAGATGATCAGAACCATTTGTGTTTACATTTAATAAATGATATCGAGAAGGATTTGTAGCAGCTGTTGGACACTGACCAATAACTTGGTCATCATTCCTGGTATTCCGGTAACAGCACACATTAACATTTCAGGATCATATGAGGAGGGAATTTGAGTCCTGGTTTTTTTGGAAAACCTTCTGTGGATACCTTCTGGTAAGATCAAGAGAGTATCAGCATCCAAACTTGCAGAATGGGAACAATAGCTTGGAAGAAAACTCTGGAGACCAGAGTGGAATATTCTTTAAGAACTGTGGTATCACTGAAACCCTGGGTGGTTCAAAAAATGATACTCTAAAACAAGCAAACAAACAAAACAAATGAGCACTGACAATCAAAGAGAAAAGTGATTCAGAAGAGGTGAACTCTGAATTCAAAGAAGGTTTTGGAATAATTAATTTTGCTTACATTTTTCTTTGTTGTACTCATAAGATTGATAGGTGATAAAAATTGTAGGTCTCAGTAAGAGCATTTTGAATAAGTTTACATTAAAAATTTAAGCAATAAAGGATTTGATTGGCAGCATATTTTCTTTCTTGGTGTTTCATATTACAATCAATGGTGTCTTACATTCAGTGAAATCCAGGGTACTGACTGGTAGTAGTGAACAATTTTTATATATTCATAATAATGTAAATACTGATGATTTTAATTTAAAATTAAATAATTATATTAATATATTAAATTAGTTTAATATTACATAATTATAGTGGGAGGATGAGGAGAAGGGAAATGTATGTGTGCTTTAACGTGGGGGGAGAATGGGATGGGTGAGTGGGAAAAATCTTCACCCCCATTAACAGGAAGTAAGAAGAAAAAGTCTGAGTTTGATACATATTTTCAAGAAATTGGATTAAAAGACACACACACAGAGAAGCAGCTAAAAGCATTGAAAGAAGTTGTCCTTAGGAAATGGGATTGGGGCGGAGGAGGAGTGAGTTGTTGGGGTTTTTTTTAAATAATTTTTTCATATCCTCTAACTTTTTCAACTCTGTGCATCATTACTCTTTTTTTTATCATTACTTTGATATAAATAATTTTTTAAATAAAATAAAAATTTTAAAAATGACTCAAACAAGCCTGTTCTGTGCTGTTATCATTATAAATATACATATTCTTTACAGGCCATATGTTCTAACTTTGGGTTTGAGAAATCTATTCACTGTGAGAAGCTGCAGGATGTAACGGAGAGAGCTCAGCTCTGGTGTCAGCTATCCGGGTTTGCATCTTGGGTCTGCTGCTTACTAGCTTTGTGACCTTGGGCAAGTTGCTCAACTTCTCTGAACTTTATTTTCCTCACCTCCTCACCTGTAAAATGAGCAGAAGTCTAAATGTTTTAGTGGCTGCAGTGAAGATCCAAGAGAGGTGTGTCAGTCCCTGGCACAGAGCCTGTCCGGGTGTCTGCTTTTCATTTGTACATTTGTACATTTGTACAACTGCCCCACCCACCCAACCCAATGGAAATCTCACCCCCTTATGAGCAAGGCCCCTTTGCCCACCACCAGCACCCCCCCACACCCCAACAGCTATCCACTGTCCAGAGTCTTAAGCCTGGACATCTACAGTGTCTATGGGTCACTGCTCTTTTCTGGCCCCAAAGGCCCTGAAGTTGCTTGTTTATGTCCCTCTTCTCACATCAGGCTCAGCCAGGGAGCTGATGGGGTCCGGAGGGTGACAATGGCTCCATTGTTCCTGTCCAGATAAACCTCATGGCTCTGTGGCCAGATGCCAGGGTCATGGGCCCTTCTTCAAGGTCTGGGAGCAGAGGCCTGCCTGAGCTCCAGGCCCGGCATGGCAGGCTGAGCCCAGCCTGCTCAAAGGTCTGATGGAGGCATGACCAACTTGCCCCCCGGCTCCTGAATCCAGGGTCTGCTGGAGCCAGCCCTCCCTCTGCCCCACAAAGCAGCCATCTCAGAGCTGTGGGTGGATTGCAGCCTGCTGCTCCCTCTTCAGGCAACCCCCCTCCACACCCCAACCCTGGAGCTCTGCAGGCAGGGACTTCACGGCTAGAAGAAGCTCTGTGAGAAATGAAAAGCAGATGGGGTTTTTTTCCCCCCTGTTTGGATGGAAGACCTGCTTGCTCAAGGCTCCCTCTCCTAGGACAGGTAGGCAGTTCATGTTTATACATGTGACCCAGAAATATATAATGAGCCACACACCAGGGCTGTTGACATTGCCTGGACCTGGAGGGTAGCAATCTTCCCTCCAGATGCTCTTCAGAGGCTGGGAGGGATGTCTCAGAGTGGAGACAGAATAGGTGAAGGGGCAGAGGGGTTCCCAGGTGGGGAATAGTCCTCTCCTAATGCCATGGACACTTGGAAACATGAGGCCCTGAGTGAAAACTCTGTCCCCTAGCACCCCATGGTGCATCCCATAATAGAGCACGAGTGATACTACAAGGGAAACAAGAAGGGAAGCAGACAGCACAGAATCTGGAAGAGAGGTAGCAATTAAGAAATAGGGATCCCAGGGTCGCCTGGGTGGCTCAGTTGGTTAAGCGTCCAACTTCGGCTCAGGTCACGATCTCATGCTTTGTGAGTTCAAGCCCCGCATTGGGCTCTGCGCTGACAGTGCAGAGTCTTCTTGGGATTCTCTCTCTCCCTCTTTCTTTGCCCCTCCCCCACTTGCATGCGCTTGCTCTCTCTCTCTCAAAATAAATCAATAAATTTTTTTAAAAAGAAAAAAATAAATAGGGAGCCCAAGGTCCTGATACAGCAAGATAAAGAGAAAAAACACACAGAGCCTTTGAATCAAGAATGAGGGTTCCAGTTCCTGCTCTAGCACATGGCAGCAGTAAGTCACACAGAATCTGAGTTTCTTCATCTGTTAAGGAAAAAAAAAAGAAAACACTTTGCAGGATAATAGTGGGAAAATTAAATAGATCTATCTCTGAGGTTTGCAAAATCTAGCCTTTCTTCCCATTCATTTGAGAGACATCTGACACATAGGGAGCACATTTTCCATCTCGGGCTCTGGGTCTGGGGTGGTTCTGAAGGTCGTCCTTGGCCACTTCAGCTCCCTGGCTGACCTGGGGAAGGAAGGACAGAGAGTCCTGGGACAGAGCTGCATGGGGGTAATTCAGCATGAGGAAGTTGTTACTCTAGGCCTCCCTGACCCAGGCAGGTGGGGAGGGACTGAGGGCACATCCTTCTTAAAGGTCTCTGAGTAAGGAGATCTGGCAGCCCTCTGGGTCCGAGCAGATGTGGCGAGGGGAACCCTTACCCTGCAGGCTGTCATTGACCCTTTCCCAGCTTCCGGTCCACTCCCAACCCTGACTGCTGCCTGCCCCGGCCGTGAGTGCCACGGCCATATGATGTCTGTGTGCTCCTCCCGCAGGCCACAGAGTGGGCCTCCAATGAGGACACGCGTCGCTCCTGCCAAAGCAAAGGGAAGACTGAGGTATGTGGCCCTGGTGGGTGCAGGCATCTGGCTTAGAGCTGTCAGGTGTGTGGTTGTGGGGATGGAGGGTCACCATGTGGGCATGAGGCTGCCTGTGTGAGAAGCCCACCCTGATCCGATTGGGCAGCGATGCAGCCACCTGGCCTGGGAGGGAGATGTGAAGGCAGGGGATGTCCACAGATGCAACCTGAACTTCAGAGCAGGGCACATCTGGGGCAGAGGGGAGTGCTTTCAAATGTCTGTGGGGCAGTGGTGTGAGGGAAAGACACCCAGCCCCACACCTGGTGTTCTTGTTCCTTTATTACTTTCCCTTCTTGCTTCAGGAGGAATGTCAGAACTACGTGCGAGTCCTGATTGTCACTGGCCGGAAAGTGTTCATGTGTGGGACCAATGCCTTTTCCCCAGTGTGCTCCAGCAGACAGGTGGGGCCCCCTCAGGGCAAGACAAACTGAAGGGGTCACAAGAGGTTGTCTTTCCTGTCTTTCCCAGGCACTACATAGCCTTGGGGTGGGTGGCCAAATTTAGGCGCACACACACACACACACACACACACACAAGAATGTCCAATTAAATTTAATTTCAGATAAACATCAAATTATATTTAGTGTAAGTATGTCCCATGGGAGATTTGGGATACACTTATACTAAACAATTATTCATTAGTCATCAAAAATTCAACTGGGCCTGCTATATTTTATCAGTCAGCCTCACCTTGGAGGGTTCTGACTGGGATGCAGGGAACAGAGGCAGATGGAGCTCCTGTGACTCAGTCTCCCCCCTCCATGATGGCTGCTCCCTCAGGGGAGCTATGTGTGGGGGAGGGAGTGAGGAAGAGGTTGGAGACAGAGAAAGGCCCCGAGAGACCAGGAACCCAGGAGGAAGCAAACTCTGGGGTGGCAGGGGAGAACAGGGAGCCCCTGGGTGTCAGGGAAAAGTGCCCCTATCTGCCCATCGTCCCCAGGTGGGGAACCTCAGCCGGACCATAGAGAAGATCAATGGTGTGGCCCGCTGCCCCTACGACCCGCGCCACAACTCCACAGCTGTCATCTCCTCTCAGGGGGAGCTCTACGCGGCTACCGTCATCGACTTCTCAGGTCGGGACCCCGCCATCTACCGAAGCCTGGGCAGCGGGCCACCTCTTCGCACCGCCCAGTATAACTCCAAGTGGCTCAATGGTAAGGGGGCACAGCCCTGGGGGTGGGGGTTCTCCTGCCAGCCAGCCCACCTGACCCCTATCAATCCTCCTTCCTTCCCAGCCTCTGAAAGGGCTCACACTTGCTTCATCAAAAAGCCCAGAGGCAGGGAGATACTTGCCCAAGGACCATAGCACATCAGAGATGGACTCCGGATGAAACCACAGATGTCCTGAGTACCCAGAACAGATGAAGGGGAGGCTGTGAGGGCAGAGGAGGAGTTAGGAATTAATTAGGAGAAAGGGTTATGGAAAAGAATAGATTGGGAGAGGGTGGTATGAGTTTCAACCCCCTGGCGTTGAATTCCAGCTTCTCCCCTGACTGGCTGTGTGGCCTTGAGCAAGTACTTGACCTCCCTCTGCCACAATGTTCTCATCCATAACAGGGGGATAATCATAGCACTTAGCTCATAGGTTGCTAAGAGGATCCTATAAAGTACTTATAATATTGTCTGGTATGCAGTGAGTGCTTGGAAGCACGTGTTAACTATCATTATACCTGGACTTTGCACTGGAGGTAGGAACAGGGTTAGTTAGAGCGCCCAGGTCCCCAAGCTGGCCAGGGTGTCAGGATGCCCATCCGGGGAAACGGAAGTAGTAGGTACTCCAGACTCTGTCCCCTTCCTCCCTGCTGGCCCGACCCACTCCTCCTCTTCTGCCTCCCAGAGCCAAACTTTGTGGCAGCCTACGACATCGGGCTGTTCGCCTACTTCTTCCTGCGGGAGAACGCGGTGGAGCATGACTGCGGACGCACGGTGTATTCTCGTGTGGCCCGAGTATGCAAGAATGACGTGGGCGGCCGCTTCCTGCTGGAGGACACGTGGACCACGTTCATGAAGGCCCGGCTCAACTGCTCCCGCCCGGGCGAGGTCCCCTTCTACTACAACGAGCTGCAGAGTGCCTTCCACCTGCCTGAGCAGGACCTCATCTACGGGGTCTTCACCACCAACGTGTGAGTCCCTTGCCCTCTGCCGTCCCTTCCGGTCCTCGCAGCCTGGTGGGAGTGGGCAGATCCCTCTTTGAGCCTTTGTTTCTCCTTCTGTAAGATGGGGAGTGCGTGCCTTCCGCCCTGGGTAGTCTGAGTGTAACAGCACTCCATCCGGTCTTAAGGGTTAACTTGCTCCCAGATAACGCACTCCTTACTTGCTTGTGACTTGCTGCCTCTGGAGTGGTAAGCACTTATTCTAGATTGCCGTGAAGGGCAGGCCTAGACCAGATCTGAAGCAAGCAAATGGAGCTGGATTATGGCTCTGTGGAGGAAGAAATTGCTGGTGGTGAAAGGGAAATAGCCCTCCTAGGGGATGGAAGCCCGGCAAGCTCAGAGGGAAGTCTTTCTGGTCCCTTCCACCTCAGGACTCTGTGAACCTGCTAAAGCTAACCAGCAGAGTCTTCTGGCAGTCCTGATGGCACTGGGAAACACAGGCTGGGAATTAGAACCCCTTTTGTTTCCTGGGTATAAGGAGATCATGAGACCCTGCCCCCACCGCCTCCTTCTGTGTAAAGGCTGACCCAATCAGGTGATTTTCTTATACAGAATGCTGAATGGGCAGCACAGACCAAGGAACACATCTGTAGTGCAGGATGCTGCTGGGGCTTCTTTGTGAGGACCTCTGAAACATATGCGCCCTAGACTGGTGTTTGCTTACCCTTGGCCCCAGGTAGCAGGGATTGGATGAGGGCCAGGCTGGCTATAGGAAGGACGGTCTGAGGGGATGCACAGGGATGGGAGGAAAGCTGGGAAACAGGAACAGAGAGGCTATCCAAGGCAAGGGACAGACATGCAGCATAGCCCATACAGCCATGAGCTGATAGCCAGGACTTAGTGACCAGCCTGGCAGTCAGCACCAGAAAGTGGGCAGCCATGAGCAAAGGGCAGGAGCTTCTGGAGGGGCATCGGGGGAAATGATGACATTGGTATGGACTGTAAGGAGCTTATGTATTGTGTGCCTTTTCCATGCCAGGTGTGTGTCATGGTGGGGGGTGGGGGGGGAAGCAGGGATGCCATTAAGAAAAAGACCTGGTTCTGCCCTTAAGAAGCTTACATTCTAGAAATAGTGGTTATTAAACACCCAGTTTTAACTGTGATAAATGCTACAAAGGGCAAAGGCAGTGTGCTGAGAGCCTCTACCAGTGTGGAGGGGTGGTGATCAGGGAAGCCTTCCTGTAGGAAGTGACATCTACAGGATGAATGAGAGTTAACTAGGAAAGAGTTTGGGGGTGGGAAGAAAGAAATGTTTGAGGAACTTAGTGGAGACCAGCATGACAGGAGCCTGGAGGGTGAGGAAGAGGAGAACAGGAGAGGAGGCTGAGGGGCTGGGACAAGAAGAATTATGTCCCAAAGACCTTACAGACTGCTTAAGTGTTTTGATCTTTATTCTAAGAGCAAGGGGAAATTATTGAAGGGCTTAAAGCTGACCAGAGACTAGCTTGGATGTGCATTTTGAAATGTTTGCTGTGGCTGCTGTGTGGAGAATGGATTCCAGGAGACTGAACAGGCTACAGGGAGGCCAGCCAAGAGGACAACACAGCATCCAGCAGGAGATGAGGGTGGCTGACCCCAGATGGGGGCGGGGGGGAAGTGGACACAGACTAAATGCAGAGAACAGAACTGGAAACATTTGGGGGAGTGGTGTAGCCTCTGTGACCTGTTCACATCAGACTCATAGAAACACCTAATTCTGGGACTGAAAGGGTCTTAAGAGGTCATCCGGCTCAGGGTATTGTGGGATGCAGCATGAATCAGTGGTTTGATAACCAGCTTTAAAAATAAAATAAAATGAAGACAGCAGAATGGAATGGAATAAAAGTATCAGAGTACAATAATGTATTTAGTAAGGGCAAGTATTGTTTCATGAAGATTCTTCACAGATGTGTGTGCTCATGTGTGTGCTATTCTGAGTTGTAATATGAAATGTATCTCTTACAGTGGGCTGTGGCTGGAATGTTTGAAAAACACTAACTTTTTTGAGCCTCCCACTGGAGAAGGGAAAGGGATGAGGAAGTAGCACAGAATGACCCCCCCCCCAGTGCTTCTCGTCAGGGGGCTTCCCCCCCCCCCCCGAGTTTCCAGAGTTTGAGGGTGAATTCTCCTCCTCCTGTGACACCCCGTGGTGTGGGAAGCACCAGGCTCACCCAGGTCCACAGCCAGCCTCGGAGCCGGGCCATGGTGTGACGTGACAGCTGGCGGGGGGGAGGGGGGGTTACAGGCATCGAGCCCCACAGGGAGGGCAGCATCCCGCCATCTCTTGCCTTTCAGAAACAGCATTGCCGCTTCTGCTGTCTGCGCCTTCAACCTCAGTGCCATCTCCCAGGCTTTTAATGGCCCATTTCGCTCCCAGGAGAACCCCAGGGCTGCCTGGCTCCCCATCGCTAACCCCATCCCCAACTTCCAGGTACAACTTTTCCTCCCTGTTCCCTCTCCTCACAGACCACCTTTCCCTAGCCGAGCAGCCACCAGCTGGCTCTCAGCTGCTCAGCACGAACACCAACCCTGCCCCTGCGGGTCTGCACCCATCTGTGCCGTCTGCGATAGTTCCCTAAGAGGGTGGTAACATCTAAGACTGTGGACTGAGAAGGGGAGAGTGGGTAGGATGCAGAGCGAGGGAGCATGCTCTGAGCCATCTCTAAATGTGATGTCTCACCCCCAGGGAGACTCAATGTAGGGGACCAGGAGAGCACTCACAAGCTGTCTGGCCAGAATTTGGGGATTTTAGCTGGAGTTTGCTTATACTCTCCCCAGCCTGGGTACTCATTCCTGGAGGGTCTGAGTGCCAGGAGTGGTCAGCGCCGAGCCGTTGGGTAATGAAAGCATACCTAGTTCTGTGGTGGAGAAGAGGAAAGAGCCATGAGGCAAAGGAACCTACAGGTGGTTGACTTTCACATCCATCCAACTTCCTGCCCACGGGGCAGTATGGAGCAGGGGAAGACCTCACCATTTGCAGTGGGATTATCCTGACCCAGATCTAGCCCTCCCTCTGGATGATCTTGACCTTGGCCAAGTCACCCAACCTCCTTGAGCCTCTTTACCCTTCTCTGGTACATAGGGATAATGCTCTCAACCTCAAAGATAAATGCAAGGGTTAATATGTACCTGACACAGTGCCTGGACTGTAGAAGTGCTCAAGAAATGGTAGTTGCCTTCCAGCTTGGGTTTAGAAGGCATAAGAGCTTGGAGCTGGTAGGAACCCACGAGAGGAAAGGCAGGTTGTGGCCCAGCATGGGGGAGGAGCCCCTACAGCAACAGCATAAAATCACAGGACACTGTTTTTGGCACTCAAATGATTCATTTTTAGATAATCCCAGCTCCTATTTCATCTCCCCGTCCTCTTCACCATCCCCAGAACGTCCCTCCTCCCCATCTTCCCTGCCTCATGTTCCCTTAGTTCTCAAAAAAGAGGTATGGCTCCCTGGAAGGGGTTGCAGCCGCCCCCTCCCCGCCGCAGCGATGTTGGGGGTGGGGAGCCGGGATTGGAGAATCAGAACCTGCCACCCGGGTTACGATGAGGAAGGAGAGGGATAGGGGACTGCGGCAGCCGGTTGGCTGGGCCCGTGTGACCCCACCCCCTCCCCGCTGCAGTGCGGCACCCTGCCAGAGGTGGGCCCCAACGAGAACCTGACAGAGCGAAGCCTGCAGGACGCACAGCGCCTTTTCCTGATGAGCGAAGCTGTGCAGCCGGTAACGCCCGAGCCCTGTGTCACCCAGGACAGCGTGCGCTTCTCACACCTCGTAGTAGACCTTGTGCAGGCCAAGGACACGCTCTACCACGTGCTCTACATCGGCACGGGTGAGCCTCCCCGTCCAGCCCGGCTCCCGGTGGGGAAGAGGTTGAGGGGCGGGGGCTGGGCTGGTCCTTCAAGGCCACCTGCATCTGGCCCCTGCAGAGTCGGGCACCATCCTCAAGGCACTGTCCACGACGAGCCGCAGCCTCCGCGGCTGCTACCTGGAGGAGCTGCACGTCCTGCCCCCCGGGCGCCGCGAGCCCCTGCGCAGCCTCCGCATCCTGCACAGCGCCCGCGCGCTCTTCGTGGGGCTGAGCGACGGCGTGCTGCGGGTCCCGCTGGAGAGGTGCGCCGCCTACCGCAGCCAGGGGTAAGCGGGGGCCGCGGGACGGCGGGTGGGCGGGCTCCGGGCCTCCAGAGGCTTATGCCCGCCAATCGCACCTCGGAGGTGGCGCCTAAGAGGCAGAGCTTTGGAACCACCTAGGGTGGCATCCTGACCCAGTCTCGTTATTTGCCTTTGGACAAGTCACTTAACCTCTCTGAACCTTGGTTTCCTTCTCATAAAATATCTGCAGGGATTTTGTAAAGGTTAATTGAGATAGTCTGCCTGAACCACTTATCACTGCCTGGGGGAAAAGTGTGTGCTTAGCAAATGGTGGTGGCTGCTGTTATCCCTGTTGTCAACCCCAAAGTTAAGGCCTCCCAGCCAGCTCTAGCTTAGCTGATTTATTCTCAGCCCCTTTAATTCAGAGAAAGGTCTTTATCTTTGAAACCACAGTACTTACTACCTAGATGTGGAGGGGGAGATGAGAGATGATACTTTGGAGTCAGCACCAGGTTTTTGCTTTTCTTCCTTCCTGACTTAGAGGAGGCAGAGAGGACTGGCTTGGGTGGGGTGGAGGTGAGGAGCCATGTGGAGTTGTTTGTTGTGTTTGCTTCCCAACTGCTTCTGAGACCTTAGCTTCAAGTGGATTCACAAATTTGGCAATAACGGCACTGGCATTTAGGGGGGAAAACAAAAAGCCTATTCCAAAGCCAAATAGAAATGCATCTCAGATGCCTATCACGTGAAGCTCCCCTGAGCTGTGCCCCCTCATTTTTGAGGTAATCAAAGGCTGCCTTGGCTGGCATAGCCACAGCCACATGGGCTCCTGTGGCCTTTGCAACACAGAAACCTCCTGGCTGTGCCCATCTGTCCTGAGAGTTTAGAGACAAATGGTATCCCTGCTGCCAAGGGTCGTTCTCCAGCCCCTGTGGGGTGTGCTGGGAGCTGGGCAGAGGTCTGGAGGGCAGGGGAGGACACTGGATGGCCATGGTGTGGCAGCCAGAGAGGAAGAAAGGGAGGGCAGTGCGCAGACACTCAGGCTCCCCTCAGTCTCAACACATGGCTCCGTCAGCAAAACACCAAACATTTACTAAGCCCTCCCACGCTCAGAGCACTTTGCAAAGCTGTCCGTGTGAGAGGGGAGAGGCAAGAACACGGCCTAGAACACTCTCATTTCCCTCAGAGCTGTAGATGTCTGGCTGGGGAGAGAACCTCACCCTGTGTTGGACGTGTGAGGCATACTAGGCGGGGCTTACGTGGCAGAATGGGACACGCCTAGGATTCTCCCTCAGCTCCGTCATCTACTGGCTGTGTCACCTTGAGCAAGTTACTTTACCTGTTGAGCTTTCCTCTCGGGGGAAAATGGGGAAACTGTGATGGAGTAAATGATAGTTGGTTTTGGCAGAGATGTTGTAAGGATTGGGAATTACATCCATGAAGTGCCTAGCCCAACAAGTCGTAGCTAGTGTCCTTATTCCTTTCCCATCTCCACAAATGCATTTAGGGGCCCTGCAGCCTCCTGGGATCTCTGGAGTCTCAGCATCTCTGACATTGAGTACAGGTAATACTGCGTGGCATGAATGATAGGCTGTCTACTGACGGTGTTTCTCCCATATCTTGTATTCTTCTTTAACTCGTGTGTTGTTATTAAACTTTTCACATATGCCTTGTTCTTTAAATGATTGTTGTTGTTGTTTTTTTTAATTTATTTTTGAGAGAGAGGCAGAGTGTTACTGGGGGAGGGGCAGAGAGAGAGGAAGACACAGAATCCGAAACAGGCTCCAGACTCTGAGCTGTCAGCACAGATTCCAATTTGGGGCTTGAACCCCACGAGCCATGAGATCATGACCTGAGCCGAGGTCGGACACTTAACCGACTGAGCCACCCAGGTGCCCCTCACATGTGCCTTGTTCTTTAAGAGGTTGTAAATCCTTGAAGGCAAACTCACTGTCCCAGTACTTTTTCTACTTCACCAGGGGACCATGCCCAGCCCCAGGCACAAAATGGCCTTCCACACATGACTGATCCATCAGCAGATTGATTATTTGGCCTGAGAGAGGAGGTTGGTGCAGGAGAGGAGTGAGGAATAGTACTGAGGCCAGCTGAGAATGCCAAGGGAGGATTTGATCCCAATCTGTGGCTATAGGCACTGAAGTGGGGGAAGTGGAGTGACAGGCAGTGTGAATAGGTGTTTGACAGCCATCAAGGAGACAGTGGCGTGCAGCACTGTAGAGGGTCAGATGGTCGGCCAGCATGAGGTAGTGCGGCTCCAGGCTGGATATCAAGTAATGGGGTCTGCAGTGGAACCAGAGGAAGGAAGACGCTGGGACATTTCACCACTCACATGGTGCTGCAGAGAGGGGACAGGGAGGGTGCAGAGCATGGCCAGGTGGAACAGCAAGGGAGAAAGAAGTCAGTTTGGAATCTGATACTTTCACCCTGTTTGAACTCCTGAATTTGGGATCTGAACCTTTGATGTGTACAGTGAGATCCTGCCATAAAACTAGAGGTGGACCTGAAAATGTGAGGTCTCATTATTGCAAAGTTAATAAAATGACCAGGGTGAGGCTGTGTAGCCACCAATCCATGCACTCCAGAGCCTGGAAGCCAACTATCACACTATATGAGAATCTGTGCTATTGTGGGGCAGATTGTCACACGGGTTTACTGTGTCCCGGGATAGACATTTCATGCCTTTTTCCTCATTCCTAACAGAACTGGCAGGAGGGTGAGGATGGATGCGCAGAGGCCTCTTCACGCTCCCTCCTGTGCCCGGAATCCAGGGGCTTGTCTCCAGCCCTCTCCTTTCACTCAGGCAAATCTCAGCCCCATAGGGCATGACCAGGATCCTGGCCTGGCCAGAGAGAGACCAGGGCTCACAAGAGGTGGAGCAGAGGGAATCAGCTGCTGACTGGCTCTAAAAAGCAGATGCTTTGTGCATGAACCACCCCCTTCCTCCTTCCAGCATGCCCTTCATGAGGCACTGGAGGAGGCGTGGGGGTGCCTACCCCAGCTCACTCAGGAACGTGGATCAGAGTATCTCCTTCCCACCTCCCTCCCAGGCAGGAAATCTGTGTTTTCCTCCACTGCCATCTTAAATAATGGCCACTTGCTCTCCAGCTCCACCTTGGACAGCTCCCATTGTGAAACTATTGCTGCAGGGTTCTGGAATCCGCCTGCTTCCAACTTCCACCATCCATCTCTGTCCTGCCTCCCAGCCCATGGAATGAACCTGTTCCCTTTTGTAATGGCTGCTTAAGACACTGCAGTAAAAAAGACATGGTAATATATTATCGGTCTAATGGCTGCTTCTATGGAAGGAACTCTCAATTGCTACCCATTCTTACAGTCGGACACACTTTAATTCTCTCCTTGGAGCTTTAATTTTCTTAAGAACATTCCCTGCTCTGTAAGCTTTGGAGTGGTCTTTGGCCCAAAGCAGCAAATGTGGACAAGGAGAGAGCTCAAGCATTGGCTCCAAGGGAGTCGTGCAAGCTTCCTCAGGCAGCCAGAGCCAGGGGCAGGGGCAGGGGCAGGTGTATCTGTGGAGAATCTAGTCTCCTCTCTGGGAGAACTGAGAACAGGCTGAGAGGGCGAGGGAGCCTAAGCAGGCCAGGGGTGGGAGGTAGGGGGTTGGGGCCAGCATCCAATCTGTGTTTTTCTTCCATCCTTATTCTTTTCTTATTCTGTCATGGATTGGAAAGACAAGACATTTCATCTCTTAGCTTAAGAACCCTGACCAATGTAGCCTTAGAAAAGCAATGAACAACCATGCTATACTTTAGAATCACCTGGGGAGTGTTTAAAAGATTCCAGTGCCTGGGCCTCCTCTGATCCAGAAGGCCCAGATATAGGTGGGTTTTTTATTTTGTTTGCTGAAGCTTTTAAAAAAGATCGCCAGGAGATTCTAATTTGCAGTCAAAACTGGAAACAATTGTTCTAGAACTGGTTAGACCCTAGATGAAAGAAGTAGCAAGAGGCAAATTGCAATCTTCCAGTATCTACTGCTTTTATCTTGAATAAACCGATTCAGATTTTCGCTTTTATCCATATTCTCTACTGGCAGACATTTGTTTTTGATGAATAGAATCTTATTTATTATTATTATTAATCACTAGTCATGGCTTTTTTTCCATTTAATTTATATAGCTTACAAAGTGCCACATCAGCTGCTTCTAGAGTTTGATACTGCCTTCTGAGAGCTGAGGGAAATACCCTCAGGAGTGGGTTTTATTGAGTTCTGATTGGTTGAATTTGCTAGCAGCAAATTTGGTTCAAATGTCAGCCAGAGGAGCAGAATCTCAAAACCACATGCTGCTGGGACTACTTTGCATATGTACTGCATTTAGTCCCATGATGTCTAGTTTGATTCATTCTGCTGGTGAAACACCCCCAAATCAAACCTTTGGATTCCCAATGAAAATATGAACACACTTATATTGTACAATTTACACAAATTGTTCTTGAGTGAATAAAATGGAAACAGATTCTTGAGTAACAGATGAACGTTTTGGATTTCTGGGTGGGCCAGAGTGTGCTTACTGGGGTCCATCAAGGCCCTCGCCCATTGAAGCCCAAGGCATCACCTCCCTTACATGAGGCCAGGGGCTGCCTGAGCAAGGGGCATCATTGTCTTCTTCAACCTTCTCTGGCAACAAGGGGAAGCCTCAACCCTCTTCTTCTTCGTAAGGTCTCTCATATAAGCTCTTTTGTCCCTGGAACCTGACACAGTCTGTTGAACCACTGAAAATAAAGAACTCACCTGACAGGAGACTTTCCCTGAAGCTTCAAGTGAAAAGAGAGATTCTATCCTGAAAACACCGAAAAGAGCAACCCCTTGACTCTTTCATGTATTCCTTTAACCCTTGGCCCCTTTGGCCAATCAGAAATCACTCTGTAGTGTCACGTCATGGTGTGGACTCTCCCACCCTCCTTGCCATCCAGAACCTCCTTTACCTGAAAGCTTTTCTGCTTCCTAACTTCCAATTTCTGCCCCCAGTCCCAGTGCTCTCTCTAGACCCGCTCTTGCAGACCCACTGCAGTGGAGCAGCCAGGCCTAGGAAAAAGGGTGGAAGCTGGGGAAAGGAGGCAGAAAGGATCCAGGGTATCCCCTGGGGTCGGCAGTGGGCTCTCTGGGTATTGGAGGGAACTTCCTTCAGGTGCCAGAGTCTGATGCTCTCTTTGCTTAGCAATGAACAGCAAATCCTGATTCTATAATTTCCACACTCGGGGTGCCTGGGTGGCTCAGTCTGTTAAGCGTCTGACTTGATGTTGGCTCAGGTCATGATTTCACGGTTTTGTGGGTTGAGCCCTGCATCAGGCTCTGTGCTGACAGCATAGAGCCTGCTTGGGATCTCTGTCTGCCTCTCTCTCTGCCCCTCCCTGACTTGTGCTCTCTCTGTTTCTCTCAAAATAAATAAATAACCTTAAAATGTTTTCCATACTCCTTTTTTTCCTCCTTGAAGGCTTACTAGTAGATATTTGATTATTTTTACATATTTGT